TTTTTTTTTTTTTTTTTAACTTGTTCCTTGTAAAAATGGTATCACAAATGTATTGTTTTATATACATTGACTGCCCGAATTAACGGTGTAATTTCATGAAAAATTATATCTACAAATCGAATCATGAAACAGAAATTTCATCTCGTTTGAATTTCGTAGAAATTCAATTTAACCCGTATAAAAATCGTTTTCTTCTTTTGTATATACGAAAAAAAAAAAAAAAAGATAATTAGAAGGTCTACTCCTTGGTGAAACTTATTCTTGTGTTTTATTATCTCTCGGTTACGACTTATCCAATTACAATTTGTAAAAATATCATACTGTACCAAAACTGCTATGTACTTTTAGTATTTTTTTGTTCTTTTTTTTTTTTGTTTCTTTACATTCCTCTATTTATATATTTATATTAATAATTCCACCTAGTGGCAGTAAGGAGAACGTTATAATATAACTAACTTCGGAAATTTGCATTTTTTTTTTTTTTTTATCGAGCTTGTAAAAAATTATGCAATCATCGTACAGAGGAACACGCAGCTAAGAAAAATTTCTTACACTGTGAAGTGCACGGCAAAAAGTATGGTACAAGTAATGGTATGTGCGCCTTTCCCAATAAATGTATATAGCTACTAAAAAACGAATTATTTACATGTTGTTATTACTCGAATAATTTTGCTTCAACGATCCGCTTTATTCTTTTTTTTTTTTTTTTTTTTTAATTTTAAGCTCTCTCTCGCTCGCTCGCTCGCTCGCTCTCGCAATGAAAAACTTATATCAATTGCTATTATATATATTTATATATAAAAAGGCAATCGTTTCTTGGTGCACGCAATAACAAATAGAATTATATAGCTGAGATCAATATTGCAATTATATATCCTTGCACCTATGACGTTTTAAATAATTTCATCTTCTGTTTTCTCTTTCTCTTTTTTTGTACTGATTCATCTCGTAATTAATCAGCGCTATGGATAGTCAAAGTTAATAGTTCAATTTAACTTAACTTCTTTTACACAATTCGTCAGTCTTGTGCGCGTATTATATTTTAAATCGATATTGAACCGTTGAAGCAATTACTTCACGTAATTGTAATTGAAACGTTATGTCGCTTTTCATTTTCTCTCATTATTTACACTAGAAGACTCACAGGTGTACGTGCTTTTGCAATATATTTTACTATTGTTTCTTTATGAATGCCGGTTAGGAAATATTATCGTGCAGTCCAAAAAATGATGGAAGCACGAAAATCGAAGATTCACAGTTAATCCAGATTACCAGGATACTGCTTTCTTTTATAATTCTCATTTGTAATTAGATAATCTGAGATAACTATCTCAGGCAAATTGCTAAGAAAAATAAATAGTATACCTCGTATCATGTTATCATTCTGCAACTCCAAACTATGGCAGTACAATAGAAAAACTTCTATTATTGCCTCAACAAACTTATATCAAATTTATATTACAGCTTATAAAAATCGATGATTTCTGGTGTCACTATCACTGTATAATATTTAACACATTTGAGACAAAAATTCAATCTCTCTATGTTCTGTATGTAAATCTGTAAGAATGAACACAAATCATTTAAGATTGGAAATGTTTTTACAACGAAGGCTACTATAAAAAATTGATATTATTACTATCAAATCAAATCTAAACGCAATAAATGATGCATGCGTAAACGCATATATGTTGTATATATATATATATATGTATCGATGTTTCTGCGTTAGAGACGATGACTTATTTTTTTTTTTTTTTTTTTGCTTTTTTCTTAATGTTGCATGGAAATCTATTTCGGGCACGTGTAGTATAAGACGCTCACGTGATGAGCAAGTTAGGAAAGATTAATATCTTTTTAATTATTCTGTAATAGGCACCCACGTACATCTGCAGCAGATTCTTTTACATTATAAATCAGGTACACGCTTTGAATATTTTTCAATCGATTATGTGAAGCACACTTTTCTCTAAACATTAGCAAAAACTGTACTAATTCCAAAGAGGAAATATAAATGATTAAATTAACGTCAATCGAAGAAATATCCGTAATTCTTACTTTTGTAAATATTTCTTTAATAAAAAACGTAACAGCTAATTCTTTTATAAACACTGAAAATGTAGATTACAACATAATATACTGATAACAATTCCATCTTGTGGTGGAGAGTAGCTATATTTTGTTGTACCAACATTGAAATTATCACTATTTAGTATTTATGTGTAAGGTATTGTACAAATTATTCCATACTTTTTGGACAGTGTGCTCACAGTATATTATTACATTACAATTTGCAAAAATACAATTTACTATGTTAACAAAACCTGCACTCTTTACACTAGCGCTACAGTGTCCAAAAGTATAGGTCAAGTGTTACAATGCAGCAGGCATATACGTAAATGACAATGTACATGCATTCGTTCACCATACATACACGCATCATATAACAATACTTACATATGATCATACAACATTCTTGCCATAAAGAGACTACCTAAGACTGATCATCAAGCATGTGCTCATACACATTGCTCTTTCCAATGTAATTTTGTGTTGAAAAATAAAGAACAATCTATTATATTACATTTAAAAAATCTTCAGTCATTTACAGTAGGGAAGCTTATCGACATGATAGAAATAATCTTATTTTGAATGTATATGGAATCCCGATGTGATCCGTAATGAATTTCATTGTATGTAATTTATGAAACACTGTACAATGCAATGTACACTAACGTTACACGATTCAAGGTCCATTGAGGCCAGCTCACACAAGACCATGCAGATAGGGCGCCAGATATCGGGCGGGTCACTTAAGTTCCTGCCCTTTACAGAACATCACTTCAAGTATGATTTATACAACATTGTGCTCCTACACGTTTCTTTTTCTTGTTCAAGAAGGAATAATAGGTCTCTAAAATTCACTTTCTTTAAACGTGGTTTCATTGGCATTTGTCTGTTAATTCCAGTCACTGAAGCATTTAAGCCGGAATTACTGCCTGGACTACTGGTAGACACTCCTGTATCAAGTTTAGGCCTTTTACGTGGACCAATTGCTCTCAAAGCTGTCAAGTTCGCTTCTCTTTGCCTTAATTCTTCCATTTCTGCACGTTGCATCTATATGAAATTTCATATGTTATATTTATTTATTTCTTACATATTTTTTAATTTATTTTTTACATATTTTTTAAATTTATATATTCATGAAAGTACCTCTTTAGCTTTTGCCTTTAACTTGGCTTGTTCTGGATCTTCGGTTTTTGCACGGCTTTTTGCTGCTCGTAAAAGTAATTCTCTTTCTTGTTCTTCATGTCTTCTACGTTCCACTTTATCCAAATCTTCTAAAAACTTTAATTGTGCCCTAACATCCTGTGTTACTTCATAACGCGGATCCACCTGTAACCATTATATACGATATTATTTTCAAAATATTCGATTCGAATAACTAATATTTGATATGGAATTAAATTTTGATTGAACTTATCATCGCTGAATTTTACCTTTATCAAATCTGCTCTGTGTTCTGCAATTACTGCTAATTTTTCTACTAAATTCTTTAACCTTTCTTGTGCAGCATGAGATATTAACGTGGCAACTTCTTGATTAGGTTCTTCTAATCCATAATTAGAAGCTAAAAAATAAATTTAAGTTGTTTAATTAAATATCATCTATATGCTATATTATATAACATAATAAACAATTAATAGAAATAATTACCAATTTGCTTAATTCTTTGTTGTAATGGTGTCATATGAAGAAATACTTCATCTTTACAAGATCTGATTTGTGTTCCAACAAATTCTGTGGAACCGAGAATCCTTTGTGATTCTTCGGCAAGATTAACACCACCCATTGCTGCGACATCGTTAATGTCATCATCTCCCCTATTTATACATATACAATAAATAAATATCAATAAACAATACGATAAATAAAGTAAAAAAATAGCAATAGCTTACGTGTATCCTGCAGACGAAAATGTCTTTTTCTCTTTTTCTTTAGTAATTGGCTTTGGAACAGAAGAAGGCACTATGGTTTTGTTAACAGTAGTGATTGTATTCACTGTTTTGCCTTGCGTTGTAGTTGGAACTGTTTTAACAACAGTTGTTGCGATAGGTGGTTTTTGAACAGTGGGCACAGGAGGTCGAATTCCAGTTACCGCTACCGTTGATTTCACAGTATATGGTGTAGGACTACGAACTACTGTTGTAACAGGTCGTATCTAAAAAATTGAATAACAATTCTTCTATAATCTAAATTCAATAACTATTCTTCTTCAATCTAATCTGATAATATTCGTGAAGCTTAACATATAAATGGTCAATTAAATATGTTTAATTTACAATTTTTAAATACAAAAACATAAAAATGACCGACCGATCATTTATATACATTATAAAAAAATAACAAATAAAAATGTTTTATAGAAACTAATAATCATAAACAAAAAAATACATTGATTACTAACAATCACGAGTCAAAACATTAGTTTGTTTCTATTATGAAGATTAAATTGCACAGCTTATATATATAGCATAATATATTTACAATTCAAATATATCTAATAAATGCAATAAAATTGAACTTCTTCTATCTTACCAGCCTCTGTTGAACTGGCTGAGCAGGTCGTGGGATTGTGGTTGTAGCTGCAGGTAGTGGAGTCATTACTCTTACTTGTGTAGTTGCAGTAACTGGAGTTACAGGAACTGTTGCAGCTGTCACAGCAACAGTTGGTCTAAGTTGATTCTGCTACATTATATTATAAAATACATTAATAAACAATATAACCAAATTATAATGTAACAAATATAAATATATTAACTATGTTTAGTAGTAGTAAAAATCACTAATGCTTTGTACATAATAATATACTAACTTACTAATAAGTACATTAAAAAATTATTTTTAAGTTCTATATTAATTTATAAATTTGATCTGTATATCTAAATTTCATATCTTTTACATTTCAACTGAGCTATCTATGAAGAATTTGTAAAATTTTACTCTCTTTTTTTCTATTTTAAATCAAAAACTATTTTATTTATGAATAATACTCAAATACCACGAATAATGGCATCATAAAAATACGATGGCATCATATATGAATGTTACAATAAACTACATATTTACAATCTGTGCGTATTATATGTAGTTATCTATACATTTATATGAGACTTACCTGCGTTACTACAGGAGTAGCAGATGATACAGGAAAAACAACATTGACTGGAGGAGCTTTTATCCCCTCTATGACCAATTCTTTCGTTACAAGAGATTGCCGTAAAAGTGGTAAACTTTTCTTGAGAAATCCAATCAGGCATGGTTGAGGTGATGCATTCAATAATCTTTCAAGTCTATCACAGAACTCTTCAGGTTCAACTTTAGTATCAATTAATTCTTGTATTAAAGTTCGAACATTTCGTTCGACTGCTTTAGGTTCTCGACTAGACAATTCTAACAAGTTCGCTAAAAATTTACGGCACTTTTCTTTGGTATTATCTGTAGTTTGACGCTAAAATTAAGAGACATGATATAATCAATTTAAAATAAAATCATTGGCTAAATTTGACAACTGATATACATATTTCTAATTTTATTAATTGCATATAATACATACCGGTGTGGATGTCTGAACTGTTTGAACGGTAGTAACAGGTGGGGTAGGTGTACTTGAGACAGGAGCAGTTACTGTTGCTGGAGTAGTAGTTGCTGTTGTTATAGTTGCAGCAACAGTCTGTATAAATAAACAAATATTATGAAATGTTCTACATTTAAAATTCTAGAAATTTTATTTAAAAATTCTGCATTTAAAAAATTAATAAATATTTGTACTTTTCCTTAAATAATATTTATAAATATATAACTTTTTTAAAATTTTATATGAATTATAAAACTGCATCATTTAAAAGTAAAAGCAGTTTGCAACATTGCAAAAAATAAAATATGCATAGCAATTTATATTACAAATAATAATATTGTATATAAAACATGCTTTCATTTTTAAGTTTGTAGAAATGTTCATAGCATCACATTTTTCTTTTCTTATTTCTACAATTATAATAATCTACACATATTTTTTCTATACGCATGCTGAATTTCAAATTCTTCAAACAGTCTACATTTTTATCCCTGTTTAATCAACTATTTTCATTATTTCAAGAAATCAAACATTGATAAATACATCAATAGATATATGACTTGATATAATATTAATTAAAATTGCATTGTATATTAAAGACGCACTTGTACCTTGTACAGACTCGTAATTTCTTTTAATATAATATAGTAATAGTATTCTTTAGTTGTACACAAATACTTGATCTTATTTTTCATACTTATTTTATGTATATTATTTTATGAATATTTTACACGTTTTTAAAAGAAATATTTTATCAAAAACTAATATTTTATCAAACCAATTTATTAAAATATAATTTTTTATATACAAACTTAGTAGAAAATTAGTACACGTTATTTTTATATTTATTTTTTACAATAATAGCTTATAAATTACATTGAATAAAACTGAACATGAAAATATTCATATATAGTTGAAAATAATTTTTAAAATTTTGTACATGTAAATTCCATTTTGATAAATCCTTTTTATTTGTATATGAAAAAAGTATTATTATTTAAATTATAATAAATATATAAATTCATTTATCTTTTCTTCAAAAGTTCAAAAATAAAGATACCCTTAACCAATATAACATGCAATGTATACACATGATAACAGCATTGAATTTAATAAAATAATTGTATATTTTAAAAATGTAAGAATTCTACAAACAAAGGCATCCCAGCAAATAAGCCAATAAAAAAACAAAACTTTCTGTATATTACATAAAACTTCTCAATCTTATAACAAGTGAAAGTTTTGATAAATCCTTAAATCAATAATATATAAATATAAAAATTTTTTTCATACATGTCAATATGATATTTGTAGAATTAGTCATATTTTTAGAAAAATTTTATATGACTAAAATAATACAAAGAAAAAGAATAAAAGAACATAAACATAATACATAGCCTTACCAATAACACCATTCCAACTAATGGCACAAACTATAAATTTACTACTGCACTACATCGAGTCTTGTAAGAGGTATAAGAATGCGTCACCTGAACAGATTTTCTTAAGGTGGCAAGTGGTGGACCAGTGAACTGTGTATTCAGCCTACTTACAGCCGGCACTGAGGCTAAACGATAGGTAGTGCCTGGAGATGGTGCAGCAACCACTGCATTTCCTGTTATACTATTTGGTGTAACTGTAGTACCAGTAGGGGTACCTGCTGTTGGAGGTGGCCCTACCCTTAGTAACTGATACTGTCCACTTTCTGTTTTTAATAGTATATGACCCTGAGTTCCAGGTTGAAGACCATGTAATGTTTGTAATGTTATCTAAAAATGTTTCAAATGAAATTTTAACAAAAACAAAATTTACAAAAAATATACATATTTGAATAGAATATTATATATTACTCTTAAAAAAAGAATAATAAAATCAACATACATAATCTTACTACCTAAGCTAATCAAATGACCTTTACACATGTTTGTTTATAAACTATAGATATCTTACCCCTGGAGCTCCAGGTCTTGTCCCAAGCATGTGTTGACCAATCACTACCCTAGGTGCAACCTGTTTTCCTGCTTGTTGCCCTGTCACTGGTGTACCAGGACGCATTGCATTAACATTAAGAATTTGCACATTGCTGGGTACTATCGTAGATGTAACACCAGCTTTACCCTGTAGTGCTGTGCTGACTGCATTGCCAGCCACAGAAACAGGAACAGACATTGGAACGGAAACCATGCCACTAGGTGCTACACTAGTCTTTATCACCAAAGCTGTACCTGTTGGCTTATTTACACTAGCAACTGTTTGACTGCCTGTTTCACTGACAGAACCAACATTAGAAACAACGTTTGATGTTGTCTGTAACACTGCTTGCGATGTTATTCCCAAAGTGCCATTGGCTAGTTGTCCGACAGTTTGTGCAGGAAAAGAGAGTTTATTATTTGCATTAACTACTCCTGTGGTTGCTATTACTTGACCAACAGTCGGATAAATTATTTTAACAGGTTCATGTGTTTTAGTAAGGCTTGGAATATTTGTTGTTTGGTTGCTGGTCACCTGATTTGTCGTAACTTGATTGATATAAGCAGCAGGGGGAACTGCTGACTGTGTATGCTGTTGCTGCTGTTGTGTAGTAACCTGTGGCGCCACTGTGTTTGAAGTAACCACGTTTACAGGGAGAAGAGTACTCGTGGTAATGGACTTCGTAACTTCTTGATTCATCAGACTATTTACTGTAGTAGCACTGCCGCCGTTTGAAACCCCATGTTTCTGTGGTTGAACCGCGGTAATGGTGCCCCCGTTGGAAATACCACTGTTCACCTGATGATTCTGCTGGCTAACTGATGCAGAACTTACTTGATGGCCAGAGACAGCCGGCGTCGATGTCACTAATTGTGTTTCAAGGGAGCCCACTATTGCGTTCACTGCAGATTCATCGACGTCCGTGCTCAGAGCTTCCTCCAGAAACTTAGCTGACGCCATTTTCTTTGAAGCTCCAACTGTAAACTGATCTGCGCATGCGCCTGTCGCAAATTGTTCCCATGGTGCATTGCCCCCCCTCCCCTAGCGCAACTGAAAATTATACGCGGCCTTTCTTCTGTTTATTATCCGCCAATACTCAAATTCATCGTTATTTCTCACCATTGCGAAAAATTGTATCAATCCTTCTCTAATTCAATCACAAATTACCATATCCTTTGCTTTCTGTACATCGGAAAAGCAATTATCGCCATATTACATGCAACGTCGGTCATTTATGTTATGGCTGTCAATACTCGGCATGCAAACACGTCACCCGCCAAAATGGCTATCTTCGAAACTATAAAATCGTACACGATTCGCTTTTTTAACGACATCATATTGGTATATAAATTGAAAAATTATAAACATGTATAAAAATGTTCAATCCCTGAGAGCTCTATACATTTACTTCCTTTAAGGATACTGTTAGTAACAGTTACTTTAAGCAATATGTGTTCCATAATCGATCATTTTTTAAACATTTGCGTCCTTTCTGCGTTCCGCAAGTCATGTCAAAATTGTAAATAAGACTTAACGATTTATGATACAGAGATTACAACGCCCTCTAGCAACGAAAAATCAAAATTCAATTGCTATCTCAATTTTTGCAATATAACCAATCTTGTATTATTTATTTAATGTAATAATAAATTGTAGAATAAATCCTCCCAAAAAGTTTATATAAACATTAAAACAGTCTTGATAAATATAGAAAAAATAAGAAATTTGATATTATCATATTTTTGTATTCTTTATTTTCACAGTATATACATTATTTTTTTTAATACACTTACAAACGATTTACGAAAAAAAATATACGTATATTTACAGTAGAAAATATGAAATGAGATATTAAATGTTTTTTCAATTTAGAGAGTGACTCATACTTTCATACTTTATTTAAAATTATATTAGGTAATTTAAATATATGCAGATCAATTTATAATAAAATTGTATAAAACACAAGTTTAAATTTTATCAGTAAAATTACATATTAAATTATTACAAGACATGAATGCAAACAGAGATATTATTCGAAACTTATACAAATATCCATCTGAATTTCAAACACTAAACATAAACTAATAAATTCGAGATATTACTGTTTATATATTATATAAAGAAAAATATATTTTACTTTGGTGACCAATGGGGCCAAGTTTGAATAACACTGTATAGCGCATCACCCGGACTTAAAGTCCGAGAAACTTGTCGATGTCCTAATAATTTATAATTCGGCGCAATTTTACCATTTTCTACGCCCAATTCGATAATTCGTTGTGCAGCATCTAGTTGACTTTTAGGTGGCACTACGGTGTTGAACGTTCCGATAAAAGAAATACCTATGCTTCTGTTATTGAATCCAAAAGAATGAGCACCCATGTAATCCCAACTGCGACCAACATATACGTATCCATCGCCACCAACGAGAAAATTATAAGCAATATCTGACCACTTTCTAGATTCTATGTGAAATGTCTGTACATTTCGAACGCATAATATACATTCTGGTTGTGTGTTACAAAAGTTAGTTGCCGTATGACTAATAATCACATACGGTACTGGAAGATTCATCTTTATTAAATCTGCGGTAGGTGGTTGAGCACCCCATTGATTTCGTTCAATGAAACTAATATTTTTTACTTTGTCTGCAATTTGATAAATGAATTAATTCCAAACAATAATTCAATTACAGATGTTTCCAATTATCGTTAATATATAAATTGATCGAGGTTATGAATATTACCTCCCAATCCAGAATCTGGAATTTGCGGAAAAATTGAAGTAGTTGATGGAATAGTAGAATTGCGTATAAGATATACATTGGCAATGACACCAACAGTTACCAAAAGAACTAAAGCTAATATACATAAAAACGCTGCACACTGCCAGGTCCATAACCGTTTTATTACTAAAATAACATAAAAATATTATTAGAAAAAAGAAGTTATTATATTACTAATATTATTTTTGATATATTTATATACAACTAATTTTTTATATTAACTCCTTTTTAATAATTTCTTACATCTATCACCAGCACTTTTTGTTCTATAATAAGATATTGTATTAATTTCACAGCATTCATTGTTCAGCCAATCTATGCCAGGATAAAAATATTTTAAAAATTAATAAATTGAAAATTTTAA